GTCCGAGTGTCCGCAATCCCTCAATCCCGCCCGGTCCGAGTGTCCGCAATCCCTCAATCCCGCCCGGTCCGAGTGTCCGCAATCCCGCGGGGCCATCGCCGGGTGCACCGCAGGCAGGCACAGGCCCCGTGCAATGAGGCGGGCTGGGTTTTGGGGTTCTGCTGCACGGGTTTGACGGGAAATGCGATTTGGAAGGGGTTCAGCTAAGCCCGCCCGAATATACAATAGTGATGGGAACAGAGAGCGAACTTTTATTCTGTCTCTTCCTGGTGAACTCAGTAYTTGCACCTGTAGCAATGGCTCTGGGGCTGCAGCTCCACCTGCATCCAAAATTCATATTAAAGTGCCAGAAAACAAAGCGAACATACACACATTTCCCAAAATCTTGCATTTATCGAAGTGTCCTGGCTGATACAATTCTCAGGGTGGTTTTGTAGTCTTGACTCAACAGAGTCCTCTGGCCGAGGGCACAGAGAGAAGATGCTGGATACYTGTACAGGTACTGCTGGATGTCAATGCGTTGGGAGTGGAAGAACGCAGAGGGGGAATCACTGCCTGAACGCTGCTTCAGAGAAGGGCTGGACCTGTAGCCCTTCCTCCCGTCTGAGGGAAAGCGTTATCCCTCCAGTCTGCATAGGGGGTGTAGATGGCTTCCCCTCCCCTCCTGCCTCCACATTTCTTCATTCCTGATCATTTCTTTAGGCTTTCTGCAAAACAGAGAAGAAACCCCCTGCAAGAGAGAGTTGGCTTTGGTGAGGTAATGCCAAGAAGGGTTCGTTTGCCTTTGACAGTGGCAACCCTCTGCTTGAAATTACTTATTCTGCATGTTTCTTACCCAAAGCAGATATTTTGGAGTACCTCACATCTTTGTGTCCACGCTGTGCACAGGCTGAGTGTCCTCTTAGAAGCCTCAACACAAAAGCTTTGCCAGCCTAAGAAGTGAGAAGGGATTTCCCCACGTCCTTCCATGGCAGACAAAGTATCAAATACCTCACTCCAGACACAGCCACACTGTGGAAAATGCGTCGAGTCACCGACCCTGGAGATACCAAAAAGATTCGGAGTTTGGGGACAGAGTTTAACGCMGGAATTGACAGCGCTGGATTAGTGGCCGGATTTGGCAGTTTTAAAGCTCTTTTCCATAATAAAAGATACTATGTTTCTATTAATTGTTTCTCCAACAAGCAGGCTATTTCTSTGCTCWATTTGATAATTAGTGACATATTGTGTCCCTTTTGGCTGCTTGCCCACTTCCCCTGACAAGTGCAGAGCTTGCATGYAAAGCTCAAAGAGTCGTATGCAATTATTTTGGTTTGTGTTGTCTCTCTTTGCCTTGGTTGGGAATTGCTAGTGAACACAGTGCCTTCGGGCTGTAATTTCCTGTTGCATATTTTCTGAAACCATGTGAGGGATTGTCCTTGATGAGCTTTCCAGGAGCCTGCTACAATTGAACTTGTCTAATTATCAGCCTGTTATAGCCTTCAGCTTCTCGCCACCCTTYTTCTCCTGTCGTTCAGGATTGTTTTATTTTCCCCTCCTGGGATTTGAGTGCTAATATGGATCATGGAGGCTCTGACAGTAGGTGTCACCAGTTTGTCTGGGTTAGCACAGAAAAATGTCAGGAAGAGAGGGCTCTGAGCAGTAGGATTGCTTCATAAAGGGTTTATATGGTGCCTGTATCCTGGACCAGAGCTTCCCAAATGACGATCCATGAGACAGCCATGGCTGTTCATGAGGGTGTATCACCCTTATGCTACTCTCCAGCAGAAACCTGATGTGGTGGGCAGAAGTCCTTGTGAAATTCCTAGGGTTGAAGGAGGCAGGTGTCTCAAAGGATACGGGAGGATTGAGGGGAATGTCAGCAGGATTTCAGAGGATGGTTCTGTGCACGCCTGGCTCCTGCAGTGGAGCAGACTGAGGAGATGYCCCAGCTCCACCTGAGCTGAGTCAAGGACTCTCAGGGCTGGAAGGAGCGTTCAGCATCCCTGAGCTGATTCAGCTGATTCTGGGTGCCACTACACCCTGCTTGCCACGCAGCCAGCTGCAAGGTGCATCATTTCAAGGACATGATCATAATTTCTGGAGGCTGCTTTATTCCTGAACAAAGCAGAGCTCACTGCCGTGTGCGCAGGTGTGTTTCTGTGAGTTTTCTTAGCTCAGCTGTTCTCCCACCCTGCTGCGTGTGGTGTTTCAGGCATTTGTGGGGTCATGCTCTCGCCTGCAGAAGCCTCACTAGGAAGAGTCAGTTTGAAGGTGATGTTTTCTTCTTTTCTGAGGACTTAGGCAGAAAAAAACAATTTATGACTGTGTTTGTGGAGTCGAGCATCTATCCATCTATCCAAAGGAGGGTGTTGGGTTCCTGGCCCTGTTTTTATGGGGTGTAAATGTCCAAGAGTGTCTGTAAGAGCTGTGAAATTCCCCCCTTCTGACTGCTGAGAGATTTCCTCCCCAAAACTTCGATTGACACTGTGGCACCTTCAGGGTCTGCAGCCACTGTGGGTAAGGAGAGGTAATGCCATGAATTCCCACAAGCCCTGTGTCTCCTGGATGCTCCCAGGGAGGCTGTGGCATTGACAGCTTTGAAAGTCCAGA